ATATGTATATATATATATATATACACAACTTAAAGAATGAATCTTTTTTTTCTGTTAAAGTTATTAAATATATCACTGTTCAAAAGTTTGGAGCATTTTTTAATTTTGAAAAGAAAATGTAATCAATTTTATTTATTAACATTGCAAAAAGTTCATATTGTTTTAATAAAATAATGTCTGTTAAAGTCTGATGTAAAGAATAGTATTTTTTTTCTCTAAAAATTATAGTAATCCAGACTTTAGAGCAGTAGTATACATACATAAGGATAACTTACGTATTTCGTCTATTTTATCCCTGACACTGGAGCACAATTGATTAGCTTGTTCACTTAATTCCTTTAAAACTTGTTTACCTTCTTCTAATTCAGGTTGCTTGGACAAGTTAAATTCAGCTAAAGATCTATTGCTAGCCATTAACATCTCCTTTTCGGTTTCAAGATCCTTGAACTAATATTTTTTTAATGAGTCTTTATTCTTGAGATGTTTGATAGATTTAATTGTAACGAGAGCATGAAGAATTTTACTTTCAAAGGAAAAGGTACACGTTTAGGAATCCAATGTAAACTTCAAACATCCTTATATAATATTACATTTCTTTCGGTTGCATTTGATACTTAATTAGAATTAGTATTCTCTACGTTGCCATCCTACCTGTTTTATATCTTTCACGATATCTTCGAATTTCCCATCATTATTTAATAATTCCTTCAGCTCGTCATTATCAAGATGAGACAATAAACCCAATGCTGCGGGTATATCTGGTTCCTGATTCGATTTATACATTTCTTAAATACTATACTAATTTGCACCAGATTAGCGATCGTGGTTTCGGATTATCTCTTTTTTTAATTCTAAAGTCAAAAATTCTTATAAATACGCATTTACGATGTAATGACAGTTTCTCTTCGAAATGCTCCGACTGTTCCGAACTTTCTCTCTCTCTCTCTTTCTCTGAAGAGGTTAAAATTGTTGAAAATTGAGATGGCAGTCAATTTACAATGCTATCTCGTGACTCGAAACCCAAACTAACGTTGATAATTAATAAAACTTTATCCAAGGAAGATAAAGCTGCATTTTAATGAAACATTAACAGTCGGTAATTTATATGCCTGTTTTATCAATAAGTGGAGAAATTCGCAGAGAAATTCTGATTATTTTTATTTTATGCCGGACGGTGCTGCCGTCTTCTGGTGGACGACTATTCGCAACTATTCGGACTATTCGACAGTGTGATAGTGACCGGTGAATTGTGCTAAGCTTTTTGAACTGAGAAGCCAATCGATCCCGATTGATCTTGGTACAAGAACGGCTATCTTGCTGGACGCTCCAGGATTATTTTCTCAATCTCGAACAGCGCTGGTTACGTTGAAGGAGGGAACGTGATATGGAATCCGCGATCGGGAATCTTGAGGAAAGCGTGAGTATTTTTGTATTTCGATCTGACGAATATAAATTGTCAGTATTGGACATTTACGAAACGTCAAACATTGCTTGCATTATCAGATTTACTTTGTTTTCTTGTGTCACAGGTGCAGAAAGCCGACGGGAAGTTGGACATGATCGCGTGGCAGATAGACGAATTCGAGAAGGCCTTTGAGGAGCCAGAAGACGAGGTAGGAGTTCGCTTTTCCGCTTTAATCAGTAGCGATTATCAGATCATATTTAGTCTATTCTTTTTAGTTGTACTTTGTTCAATTTGTTCAATATGAAATAAATATACAGGCTACCATATTCCAGGAGATTAATTATTAATTTTCCAAGTCTTTTAGGTCCGGTTATCTGTGGCGTTTTTTCGTTATACAACTAGAAGCAACCACGGCTAAGACTATCTTCGTCTTCTGATCCCTGAGACGAAAATAGTCTTAACTGTGGTAGCTTTGGGTTGGATAATGAAAAAATATTCCTGATTAACTTGTGGTTAAGCTTGACCTGATGTTTCACCCAATGGGTTTTGTCCATATCATCATAAATGAAGCCTATTGGATAAAACATCAAGTTAAATCTAACTCCACAAGTTAACCAGATAATGAAAAACCGAACCTTAATGGATTGAAGTCTAAAAATTATTTATTGGCTGTGTTCAGCAGAGAAAGCAGTTTTCCAACTGTTATACAATTCTTAAATAGGTTTATACGTTTAGATCTATAAGGAATCAAAAGCAAGAACCAATCGTGTTGAATGTTATAACAATTGCAAAGCTGTTTTCTCTGCTGAACGCAGCCATTGTTAGCGAAAGTAAATTTGAATTGTCAAAGCAAAGTTGACATTTGATCTGGAATAGTTTGTATATTTCAAGTTTATGAAACAATAGATAAAAAGAAATTTAGAGAGAAAATAATGTAAAAAGTACAACTGAAAAGATGAACATATTATGTCATCTGTACAGTCCACTGTGACAGTTTACTGAATAAATTAACAATGTTATATTCCGTTTGTTGGACAATTCCTGCTTAAAGCCAGGATGATCCATATCATTTAGCATTAAATACGTCCTGTGTGACATCACGTTCGTGAATTATTTGTATGCACTTTACTGTCTGTCATGTTTTCGGATCCTCAATCATCAAACCGCTTTTCATTTTGTGCTTCCCAGATATCTGTGCTTCGCCTATTACACTCTGTCCATCAGGTTACGAAAGATTATCAAAATCTTCGTCAAGAAATTTTGGAGGTTCAGCAGTTGCAAAAACAGCTTTCTGATTCACTTAGAGCTCAGCTTACGCAGGTGCACGGACACTTTAATTTATTGCGCAATAAGATTGTAGGACACAAATCACAGCAGCTAAAACAAGAGTGAAATTTATTATAAGTTTTCCAATATATTTTTCTTTTTACTTATTAACAAGAGAGTGTACATATTTTTTATGAGATGTGAATTGAAGTTTAAGTATCACACACGTCCAGTGAGAATTATGTTAACTTTTTGTTATATTCTTAATACTTACCGTATTGCAATTTACAGAATACGGTGCGGCCCATAATTCGGAAACAAAGATTTGAGAACACCCGGGTAAAAATGTTATATATATGAACATATTTTATAATTGTATATAAAATATGTCAATTTTTTATATAATTATATATAATTTTATATAAGTTTATATAATTATACATATGAAACCTTTTTTGCCCGGGCAGTTGTTTGAGAAATATCTTGTCACTTCCCGAACAAATTTATAATAGTTAAAATTATAATATTTGTTATATTGTTCTCTTGTATATTGTTTTTGAATGTTAAAAACTTTAAAAATTAGAAATAGAAATGGGGTAAGGAATGGAATCGACATTCCTCATTCTATAGGGTATTATCGACAAATAACTTATTTAACTTTTGCCTTAAAAATGGCGATGGGGCCAATATATATACGCTGGTACGTTGAGAATATTGAAATGATTTCATATTGAATTCATGTTGTCTACATTACAGCCCCTATCGTTTATTATTCGGCGCGTTAACAGACAATATGTAACGATATGTTTGATCTTTGAATTATGATGTAAAATCTTTTAGTAGTGCATCAACTGAATGGCTAAAAAGTAATATTTGTGTATTTTCCGTTATCATTAGATTTATCTATATATATTTCTACACCATTTTGAGGACAATGGTTATGAAAAATTTATTTTTTCTCGTGTACCAATCGAAGCTTGTGACTCTAAGATTAGAAAATACAAGCTTAGCATGATATCTTTGTGCGAATCCACATTTAGCTTTGAGTGAGCGAGATATTTATGCTTTCTGAAGCAATATAAATGATTAAAATATAACATTTTATTATTATTCGATGCTACTAGTAATGTGCATATTGCATATTGTGCTCTACATTGCATATATACACATAATGAGTTTGCACACATGATGCAATACATGCATATATATGACATTTATATCGATTAAGGCTCAATAATCGATTATATCTATTTTTTATTTATCATTATTGTAATATATATAGAGTAAATTAATCTTTTATTGTGGAAGAAATTGTATAATTTTCTGACACGTATTAATAAAATACACGGCTTAGCATTTTTATTCTTTATATAATATAAAAAGATTAAGTTAGAGTTATTTAAATAGCAAATATATAAATATTTTCATATATTTACTCAGAAACGTAGACTATTTTTGTCGTTTATATTTTTAGGTAAAATCTGTTTATACAGATAAAAATTGTGAATAAGTTCAAAATCAGCGAACAATAATATATATTTATATATTATATTTATTATCTTTTCGTTGGGCAATTTAAAAATATCGATATTTGATTGTAAATTTTGGTAGGCAAAATTAAATCTGTAAAAAAATAAATAAAGTACTTCTACGATAAAAACTTGTTCTGACGAGTATACTAGAATTTTTTTTTTAGATTTTGATATAATGTGGAACAATACAAAATTTATTGTTTCTCGAAGATCCTCATTGCTGACGAAAAAAATTAAAATTCATGTTACCGGCGGAAAGTTAATTTTGTTATATATAGCTTTAATAAGCCGTATACAATAATATAATTATTTCTTTCTCTCTACATAAAATTAACAATTTTCTCCTTGCTGCAACTTATACAATAAGATATGCATATATACATATATAATTGAAAAAAAAACATTATGGACAACTATACAAAAGTTTCGAAAATACTTTCACAGATTCCTGAATATACACAAACGCTTATATGTTCTCAGCACGCTTAGTGTTCTTTCTTGAAATACACAGAGTATTTTCAATATTTTCTAATTTACAGAAAATGAATGTAATATGAACGAAGACGAAAGAACATGATAAATGTATAAAACTAGCATTGAAAAATCGAGAGAAGGGAAACACTATTGCCTTAAGACATAGATGCGCAGTTTTTAATATCTTGGAATTAGATATACGACAATTATACACGCTAAACTGTAACAACTTGTTAACGGATTTTCAAGAAGCTTGACAAATCGGAAACAATATTCTCTTTCTTTCATAGGAAATACTTCTGCATTATAACTCATCTTGTATCAAACATTGTAATATTTAACTGTTTATACCTGATAAGTAGTTAATTAATCGATTTACTGTGCGGATCTATCTTAATAGCGCTATCATCTTACCGATTAATAAACTGAGTAATTTAATGTACGACGCAATTTAAATTGTCACAGACAGAGTAACTGAGTTTCATAATCGTAAATGTGTTGCATGCTGATTACATACGTAACGGTATTCTATATTTAAAGAAAAAATTGCTGTCAAAATTGTTTACCTGTTTTCTTACACGCATTCGATCTGTGTCTTGCAGGAAACTCCTCCAAGTCAATACTATATAATATAGACCGAGAGAACATTGTGATACTCAGTGACTCGTATTATCTACTACGATCAACTTTTTATATTACGATTAATCAAAAATGTATCTAGCCCGGTGCATTGAAAATGGGAGAGAAGTTAATTTTTGCACTACACTTATTAATCGTAATGTAAATGGTCACGCTGTCTTATAGCTTTTATCTGAAATTAGGTACAGATTACAAAATAGAGAGAGAGAGAGAGAGAGAGAGAGAGAGAGAGAGAGAGAGAGAGGGAGAAAATATAAATGTATCGTTTAGCACTGTCAGATCGAAGTCATACTCATTCACTATTTTCAATACTACAATTTCATTTGATACATATTGCTATCTCTTCTATAATGTACATAACATACATATACCTATATAACACAATTTTCAATACACATACGCACATTAAATTTTATTCTTCGATAAAATGTATGATTTTGTTAAAATATTAGATCGCTTGTTATTCGTTAATATATAGTAGAATAATGTAGAATAGTTCTAAGAGAAAAATGGTCTGGAACACATTGAAAATGTGTTAAAATTTCGGTCAATTAATAATAAACGTTATTCGTTCCATCGGAAACGGATTGTTCTCGATTTGTTTTTTTTTTTTCTTTTAGAATCTACATATCACATGTTTAAAATCTTTTTGAACAGATTATGCACTTTTTATCAGAACATTCCTAAGATTCGTGAATACCTTTGTCAAAACAAGTAATTAATCTTGTACTTGTACAAGCAAAAGGTGTATATCGTATGATTTCTTACAACTTTTATATAAGTTAAACAAGAGAAATTAATTTTTATCAAGCTTTAAAATGTGCTTGCAGTATCATTATATTAGATTCAGAATTGAATTTTATTATCTCATTTTAGAAACACACATCATCGACTATTAAAGATTATTTTCTCTTAAATTTAAAAATTACTTTTTATAATCAGAAAAATAATGATTTTCTTGTGACATGAATTTATAGTGTTAATCGAAAAATAACGATATATACCATTTTAATATGTTTAAATACTTATTGTATTTTTACTGATCGTCTTACACGTTGCGTCCTAAAATAAATATCTTGTACATATTCACTAATAAATAATGCATACAACCATTATATTTGCTGCATGTTGCACGCATAGATACAATTTTACTTGATACTATGTTATTCAATTTATTCGGTGAAATCACAATTGCATTTATGTAATGGATGTAATTCTACAGTTACAGTTCCAGTACTGTTAAGAATATGAGACATCAAAACTTTAATATATTTATTTATAATATTTTGAGAAATTTAAATAGAAATTCTTTTGAATAGAAGAGGTGACAAATATTATTATATTCTCGAGATATGTATCGACGTGTAAAAAATATATATATTTTGCAATAAGAATTATAAAGATGCATATTTATATTTATAATTATATATTTTAACTTATATAATTATAAAATTTTTATTTAAACAAATTTTATTTAACTACTGAAGTTTGTTATGTACTGGAATTGACTGTACGACTGTAATATCAAAATATTGAAATTTATCGATTATTTACCAATATGTTATATACAATTGCTCAAAATTTCGATGTATATTAACATCTACGATTCGTGAGACGAACTGTATCTTTTTAGATATTTATCGTATTATTACGTAATAAATCATCTCTAGCAATCCACTGGGAATCCATTATTGTCTGTATTATTACAACACTAATATAATTATTATAATATATTTAAATAGGATAAGCGATACATAATTTTAGAAAATTAAATGCATTTCTCTGAAGGAAACATTGCAAGTTTCTATCTGATGAAGGAAACTGGATATTGCAGCTTGAAATGTCAGGTACGAGGTCAGATGAACTAAGCAGAAGCCTAATCAATTACTCATTTTCCCGCACTAACGCCCACGACATGGAGGAACTTCTCAAAGAGCTTGGACTATTTTGAATGTTACCTTAGGAAGAAGAAGATAGAGAAAGATATTTAAAGGAAAAAAAATCATCAGAAGCCTTTCACCGTGAAAAGCAAAAGCGTTCGCCTCGCTTCATCAACTAGAATGCGTGCATTCATATTTTATATTAGACATACACATGTACTTCCTCTAATACGCTGCACGAGAGATGTTGCGAGCTGGACTTGACCTCGTAGGTGGACCTGAGCACGGACCGGTTATTCCGCGCACCGATCAAGGAAAGGCTTCTCAAATAGGAACGAAGGTTGTAGACCCTCGCCTACGGCGGAATCTCTCTTTGCGTTAGAATCGATAGACACGGTGTTCACAATGCGCATTCAATGCGCACTCTTCCTGCAACGTTAGGACTGATTGATGAATATTAATACCTGTGCATCGCAAACTTGACCAAATCTAACCACACAGGAATACCGTCTTCCTCTAATGAATTGTCATTATAATTAACCAGGGTACGTTCTGTACAGTGCCCCGGAATTACCGGATGTCTTTTTAATTACAGCCTCTGGCTAATTTAGAATTTGTTTTTCCTCAATCAAAGTGTCGAAGGAGGTTGTCATTATCAGCTACTTTCTAGCTCTCAGTATTATAAATTCATGATAAAATTTTAAATTAAAATCCTGATGACCTACTATTACGCTGCTTTTTGCTGAGGAGAGATCGACTTTATACTAGTCGGAGAATTAAAATTGCAATTTGCGGGCACTCCCTATATATCAATACGCGAAGAATTACAAAATACATATCTAAGACTTTCCAGAATGATTTAGTTTTCCAATTGGAAATTGATTGAACGGCGAAGAAAAAAGTTCGTCGCATTGGTTCCCGTGTCAAATGTACATATTCGAAGAGCGTATCATTGATGAACCGTGCGGATCTGTGCGCTCGTCAATTAGAAATTTATAGAAATCACAACAGACAATCTCGCCGAGAAGTCCCCGTGCGATTTATTTCCTTTCCAGGATATTTGGCTAGCCGTTACAGCGGGCGGCTCTTTCCGCTCAATTTCCGTTGTTCTCGTGAGAAAGTATTCTTATTCCGGTCGTGATACAGATGAATCCACGCGGGACGATTCGCGTGTAATGATGCGCTGTGTAGCGAGGAGGCACAATCGCGGATTGCAATATTTATCCCGTATCGCTTGACAGAGTTCTACTGGTGATATAATACAGGATTTGCATTTTTTCCAAAGTGAGAGTTTTTTCCAAGTTTATAATAATTCATAAATATAAAAACTCTACATAAATCCATATATATAACTAGATTATGAATAACATAGATAAATATTATATTAGAGTTATAAATGATATATAATATAATTCACAAAAGAATTTTTCAAAAAATTATTGTCTACAACAAAATCTGTTCTACCTCCCCCAAGAACTATTTTAGCCATTTTTTCCAAAGTGAGTTTTTTCCAAGTTTATAATAATTCATAAATATAAAAACTCTACATAAATCCATACACATAACTAGATCATGAATAACATAGATAAATATTAGAGTTATAAATGATATATAATATAATTCACAAAAGAATTTTTCAAAAAATTATTGTCTACAACAAAATCTGTTCTTTCTCCCCCCAAGAACTATTTTCATCAAGCCAGTAACGTTGGATGGACCACCACACAGTGATGAAATTTCTGAGAACTACAAAAGCCGGAAGCGGATGCTCGAGGAGCGTGTCGAGCAAGTTGTCGACCGGAAACTGAAAGAGAGAACCCTGCGGAAGGAGCGAGAGTCGCCTTTGCCGATTTGTATCTTCCTCATGGCCAGCCTTGCCGCTTTGCTGACTTCGTCGCATAGTGCAAACTGCGGAAATATTTTCCGTCCCGTTTTAGCGATATCTCGCGAAAGTGCAATTCGAGACATGAGTATACGGGCGCGTTTGCGTACTCAAACGCTTTCATTGCGGCGATGTGACAGGAAGAGAAGTCCGTGAAAGGCATTGGTCTTTCGTTGAGAAATGGAAAGAGCCTCTTCGTCATTATTCTTATCTGCCTAATGGCCTACACGCGTGAGATGCGTGTCAACTGATACTAATTGTAGTCTGCAAAATCCTGATCTCCTAACATCTCGGCTAGAAAATGTACACCAATAAAAATGTCATCTCTTGTCGCGACAAATTTGAAATATATTATTTATAAATAATAAGAAGACAGAAAATAGAAGACAGATCTGATAATGTTAATTAAGGCAAAAAAAGAAATGGGCAATGAATATAATTCTTTTCGCGCGACAAATTTGAAATATATTATTTTAGAAGACAGATCTGATTTCGATGAATTATTGAAATATTAGCTTTTGACTAAATCTTTCTTCAAAGATCATTGCCCATTTCTTTTTTTGCCTTAATTAACATTATCCTATAATTCCGTGGTTCCTTGTAGAGGAAGGAAGCTATCGATCGTCGAACCCGATTTTCACCTGAACGTTCCATCGAGCATGTCGGGACATGCCAGAGAATTTCCGATTTATGCGGCTAGCACGCTCTCAAGAATTTGATATTGAAATTTTATTCCTGGTGTTTGGATTTCAGAAAGCAGCACTATTAATTATAGTTTGTTAATTAGTAAGTTGTTGTGCTGATATCTCAATCAAATTCATTATTAATATACGTTAATAATGAATGATTTTATGTGTATGTGATTTCTCTAAATATATTTTATACGTATACACACAGCACGATATGATCTTCAGATATAATTTCTAAAAATTTTTAAGCACGACCATATGTGTGACTACATCAAATACGATAAAGAAAACCATGATCGGTCAAAGTTAGATGTTTCAAATAATACATTATATATTCTTTATTAAATCAATTTATTCTAGATATGATTGCGCGCCGATAACTTTCGGACTTTCAACACAACCATTTTGAAACGCTAATAATCCCCCCTAAATTAGAAGAAAGAAAGAAAGTAAGAAACTTATTGCAAAAAAAAAAAAAACAACCTCAGCCAGGATATGAACATGGGATCTCTCAACTTTCCGGGAAGAGTGCCAACTCGAGGCTTCGGAAATATTCTATTCGCGAAAAATAATCCTGGCTGAGATAATATTTTTGGGACAAAATTGATTTAATAAAGAATATATAATATATTATTTGAAACATCTCTAACTTTGACCGATTATGACCTTCTTTATCGTATTTTATAATCTCTAAATATATAAGAGCAAAATATCTGTAAAAATATATTGATGAAGAAAGTAAAAAACGAAATTAAAATAAACAGATACAAATTAATCAATTTAGAATCTCACATGATAGTATATTTATAATACAAACTAGTAATACATATATATCTGTAAAAAAGATTCTTGATACAAACGTCTAACGAGTAATCCATACTGAAGTTGTGACGTCAAATGCTCATGAATCCCAATGATAGTCAAATTAAAAAGTCAAATTGCTCGGGACCATCCGTATCATCCTCGCCTCGTGTCAAAGCGTGTCGCGAATGTGGACGATCGCCTCGTTCTAATAACCTACTCCCACACCGCCGATCGGCCAGAGTGCTCGCTCGGTCGGTCCCCCGAGTCGAAGTCGGGTTCAGTCGTCTAGCGACCGGTTCCGAGGTCCGGGCCCTGTTTCACCGCACGGATCTGACTCACTGTTGCGACCGATGCGAGAATAGTGCCACGGGAAAGCAGCAGCCTTCGCTTCTTTCACACGAACAGGTAGGTACGAGAACAGTCAATTTTATCTTAAATCATTGATCAATTAAAAAAAATCATAACTACTAAATGAAGATCTAAACGTTTTTGCTCTCAAGGGTGCTTCTTCGGGTGACGGGAAGCTATTCGCTAAATCACGAAATTGAAGTATGCCTTTCACATCTCATCTTTCACATCAATTATACAGTTATTTTGTTTCGAGGAGTCTTTTATTTTCATTCATTAATTGTTCGAAGACTATCAGCACTTTCCTTCTGGAAATGTTAAAGCCGAAGGAGTGAATTTTGAATTTTCAAATCGATACATATTGGTGAAGGATACATTGAATCATTAACAATTGTGAAGATGCCATAGAATTTCTTTTGCTCTTTTTTTATCCATATTGTTTTATGTACACACGTTATTGTTTACTTTTATTATCCCACAATAGAGTTAGAAATGATAACAAGTGTCTAGTTCTCTTATATTCTTTTAGTATTCTCTAATAAGTATTCTCTCATTATATGAGAATACACAAGGAAAGCAATTTTATAACAAAGACTAGATTTAAATTTGAAATTAAAAAAAATTAAGTTTTATGTCTTCTCACCTACTTTTTACTTTATAATTGAATATTTCCAGAATTAAAGGCAGACTAATTGTTATATATATCTAAGAAAAAAATTTTCACGTCAACAGGATGTTTTGATGGAACGCCATATCGCATTTAATATTTAATATTTAATTGTAATATTTAATTATTATATTTCCAGGTATACTTTTACATTTCTACCTTGATTTGCAAATATTTCCGTGATGGAGTAGCATAGAGTCGAGTCAACATATACAAATGATTGAAACCGGATTATTTAAGTCTAAGACGAGAATTCTAATGCTAGAATGTCGCGTGGGGGGAGGGGGGGGGGTTCAGAATTAATTTATCTTCTTTTTTAATCTTACGATATGTATTCATATTGTTCTTATCTTGATCGAATATATATATATTAGGTTAAGTAAAAAGTCATCGCGTTTTTTTAAAAGACATCTATCAGTAAAAACCGCAATTACTTTCTTACCAACAATATAAATATATCTTAATAGAGTAAAGTTTCAGCTTTAAAAATCTCTTTTTTAAATTATACGATACGACAATTTTTAATGGAGTTATGAGCAATTAAAGTCAAAATAATTCTTTTATTTAATCCGCGATAACTCAGTAATCAAAAGTCGTAGGAATATTTAAAAAAAACGATTTTGTAGGGAAAGTATCAAGCTTTCACGATAGGTAATCGAAAATTTTCTCAAATTCGTTTTGGACACGTTACAAATCCACAAAGTGAGAAGAAAATTTTTCGTCTTTTTCAGCTCGTAGTTTTTGGTATGTAAAAATTATCAAACTCATATAAACTTAAAAAATGTGATAAGCTTTTAAAAGTAGAGATTTCAAGCTTTAAAACCCTTTTTTTAAATTTGAATTTCATTCATTATTGACGAAGATATTGTATATACAACTTTGAGCTAAAAAATACGCGATGACTTTTTACTCAACCTAATATATATATTCATATATTTCTATAGATTCTTACCTTGACGAATATGTATCTCGCGATATCTGGGATACTACATACGTGGAGTGTCCGTGTAATAACCGGTTCAGTGGCTCCTTCGCCATTGTGTCTCTTTTTCTCTTTCGCGTAGCTTTCGAATGTGGCATTTAAATCGCCGATTTTGTGCACCTTCGTGACTCCTTCGGGCCTTGGTCGCGTTGAGACAGCGATATTGATTAAGTACCAAAGTTCACGCTTACGTCCAACGTAAAGTATACTCCACAGAGTACTCCGAATGAACGTGAAAATTCCATTTGACCTTGTTTGCTGCTCGTTGAATGCCTGTTCTTGCGGCTCTAACGTACGTTGCGTTGACTGTTGCTGATCATTGTAATTCGCGTGTGCGTTTCTCCGTTACTTTTTGAGTAACGCTCGGTAATAGTGAGAGAGGTCATCAAACTTCCACTTGGTCATTTCCATACGTGATTGTTCACCCGTGAATACATTAAATTGTTGTAATCATCACTCTTTTAAATAATAACGTTACAGACAACAGTAAATTAATTTTGTTTTGCCTGTAACAACGTTTGAAATAATAATAGTGAAATTAATTCTGCTTTGCTTGAAACGATAATAGATTAATCGTTAATGTAATCGATTGTATGTATATATACAGAACGCGTATAATATATAAATAAAATAATAGCAATAGAAAAGAGCCTGCTAAATGTGGCAATTGTTAAATACGCGAGCACGAAACAGATTGGTATGTATATAATAATGAAAGTAAATTATCAAATGAAACGGCATTCTCTCTCATTCGGATAAAACGATTAGCATAGCGTTCGAACGGCGTTAACGTAGCGTGAATCATTGATGTGAATACGTAACGATCCGCAGGACGGGAGAAAAATTTCGAATTCAAATGCGCGTTCAAGTACACATACAAATCGCATCACAATTGCATTGCATTTGCGATCGTTCGATCGGCACTTATACCTTGATGACTCGATCTTTTACAGAGGCCGGCTCGTTTCGACCGACATGCGTTTCCTCATTCTTGGTCTGACATTAATTGTAAGTCTGCTAGTCGTAAGAAGAGTTTCTGCCCATGGAAGACTGATAGAACCACCCTCGAGGGCCTCCATGTGGAGGTACGGCTTCGACACACCTCACGATTACAACGATCACGAGTGTTATTGCGGCGGGTTTACCAGGCAGTGGCAACGGAATAAAGGAAAATGTGGCATTTGCGGTGATCCCTGGGATTCTCCGACGGTGAGTCTGAAAAGGAAAACGCTGAATGTTAGACATCCAGTCAACACCAACTAAAAGTATAAATAATATTAATTAATGTTATAATTTCACAGTCCACAAAAAATTTAATTAAACAAATACATATAACGAGGTTCGAGAAAATCTATCAGTAAAAAAGTCCATCAGAGCCTACATCAGCTATTCGGATGCACAAAAATTCTTTATTTTTCGTGTGAATGTAACGAAACAAATAAAATATACGTTTCAACCCTTCAACTCGGGTCCTTATCAATATAAAAGTATGAATCGAAATTACATAATTAACGCAAATTCCAAGTTGATGATTCCCGACAAATTAGTTCGTTCTTCTTTATCCAAATGCCAAATTAGATAAAATAAAACCGAAGTTCTATGCATTACGTCACTACGTAGAATCACATCGCTCATCAAATTGTCAGATTTGATGTAAGCGTTTTCTCGCGGCTTCACGTAAAGGACTTGTGGTGTCAGAGATAAAAAATTTAACTGTCACGTAACACCATGTATTATATTATATTATATTGTTGAGAGGACGAAATTATAACATTGATGTTATATTACTTTTAGTTAATGTTGCCTGGAGAAACATAAAACATAAAATTTTCTTATATAAATTTAGTTTCAAAGTAAGATCTCTTTAGATGATCTCTGCAATTATAATTTGACATACATCAATATGAATTTTTTTGTTGTCTTAAAACTAAGACTAGAATTGTAATCTGTTTAGTACACATAAGTGTATACAGTGTCAAGAAGTCTCATGTCTCATCATTGTGTTTCAAGATGAGCCGTTTGTCACACGACACGGCCTGCATTGGCCTTGCCGAATAATGGGAATCTGAGAGAGATTTAATTGTAATGACAACGGAAAGTCTGCGAAGGTATAAGTTACTCGCGATGATAATTCAGCTACGCTATATATATATATGATTACTTCCCGACATCCCTCTTACAACACCGACTACACACCATTACGCGCGATTCTTCGCTCTGTTGACCGCCGTAATTTCGACACGTTTCTGAAAATTATGCAGTATGAATGTGGAAGGTCTGTCCGCGTGTCGACTGATTCTTTTATCCTAAATGTTAATGAATAAAATACGCCGAAATTTAAATAGTAAAAAAAAAAGTCGTTTGAATGAGAAGGTAACTATTAAGCTTGAGACTAAATGTCAAGTCGATGGAACAAATGGCATGATTAATACGAAATAATTATTCGATCGACTCGATAATTGTTGCAGTCACAATTCTCAAAGGGAAAAACTTTCATCAGGCATTTTCGTTCGGAAGAAAGTGTTGCTATAGTGGCTATGCTAACAGCATTTTCGAAGCTATTTGTTAGACGCTTATTCGTTTCTCCTTTTCTACCCCTAATGAAAGTGAGTGAAATGTACTTCGCTGCAAAGCGCAGTTTATTATTCTGAATTAAATGACGTGCAATGACTCGAGACACGAGAGAAAGAAGTAATTACTTTCCTCGCTGTTTAATAACAGAACGGCTTCGCAACCGTGAACCGATTATTGATACATTGTTTTCCTTAGAATCGTGCATCCAAGCACGCAATGAAATCATGAAAAAAAAAAAAGTAAAATCTTTTAATTTTGCAATTCTAATTCACCCCAAGTGTTTTTCACATCACCCATGAATTAATATTTTATACAGAATTTTGTTTCCAATTCTGTCGTGTATTACAGATCGTCGAAAGTGAGCTTCATTCAAATTAGGATGATAAACAAAATTCGATCTATTCCGGATTTAATTGCGAATTAAATCATCGGATTACAGCATAAAAATTATAAATCTAGGATTTTGCTTTCACTCTGATTGTCCATGGCGTTGACTGCAGAACTCGAAAGAAGAAAAGAACGGCGGATTACTATTATAATCTTTCACAACTTTCGTGATCTCGTGTCTCGTATTCCTATTAATCGACCGCATTTTCGTTGCGAGATGCTTTTTATGCGGGATGCTTGGCCTTGATACGTATGTCTGATATCGTATGGACGAAAGTAGCCCGAAACGGAAGTGAAATCCGTTTTCTTCTTTCTCTCTATTTTATCAACATTCGCATTTATTTTCTTCCTCGCTTCACACATATGCAAACGGAATTCTGAAAGAAAAATATCCTATACTAATGTAGTATTAGTATATAAAAGATTATATCCATATAACGTATGAAAAAGGAACATGCGGTTGAAATATTAATCTAACTTATTCCATTTTATTTTATTTTTTAGCCACGTGTTCATGAAACGGGCGGCAAGTATGGGAACGGCGTGATCGTTCGGCGTTATCGGACCGGATCGGTTATACCGGTCCGTGTGGAGTTGACGGCGAACCATCACGGCTACTTCGAGTTCCGCACCTGCGCCATGACCTACCGCGATCAGGAGGTCACCCAGGAATGTCTGGACCAACACCTGCTGCATGCTGAGAATGGATCCACCCGTTATTACCCTGGTCCTGGCAACCGGGTCTTCGAGGGCTATTACAAATTACCGGAGGACCTGACCTGCGCTCAATGCGTCTTCCAGTGGCGATACATTGCCGGGAATAATTGGGGCGACTGTGGCAACGGCACAGGTACGTCGATTCTCTCCGACATTTGACCGCGAAATGCGTATGCAGCGTCACTATGAATGAAGATACATATTATGGATTACCGAAGCATAGAAGGTCGCTGTTATTAAGTTAAGACATAGATTCTAAAAAAAAAAACAAATGTATTGTCTGCTAAATTTATAATGGGCCAAATGGCAACAGAGAATGAAAGTAGGTCAGAGTTCACATATGAAAGACGAACAAACATTTTGCCGTGTCGCAAATAATCTAAAAATGTTTTTGTAAACTCTTGATTCATATATTTTAACTCTATATATATAACTAAAATATACGATACTATATACATATATATGATATATATAACAATCAGTAATCCTGCCATACATCATTAAGATTCTATCGGAGCACTAGAAAGTGTTATTACTTTATCCTACATAATAAGAATGACTCAAGAGAGTTGCAACTCTTCTTGCATAACATCGCCATTTGATGGCTTCTCGTTTGGTAAAGCAAAGCGTGTCTAGTTTACTCCATGTGAATTAATAATTGGCATACTAACAATTCGTGATATTTTTATTATAAAAACTAAATCTGATTCATCTTATCTGGAAACAATGTATTACAGAATTATAGAATGATCATAAACATTGCTTATAATGTGTGTGTGTGTGTGTGTGTGTGTGTAATAAAATTGAATATCTTTTTTGTGTGTATGTATATAATAAGTAAAATATTAGATAAAATTTTTCCATACATCAAATCAAAAAGTCACATGGATGTTTAGGTGCGGTGGGATGTGGGCCTCAGGAAGAATTTCGAGCTTGCGCTGATATCACCATTGGTGATAACGAGGCAACATTACCACCAAGGCAACCGACCAGTCCCATACCCACAGACAAATTGCCGACGGACACGAGCCCATTGCCGAGATCTGGGCCATATTGGCTGTTTAGTGTTATCATCGCTGGTACGTGCCTGTTGGTGGTGCTGGCTGCTATGGCGTTGCTTTACACGTACTACTATCACGCTGGTAGAGCCAAAAAGTGGCTCATGGCGAGGAGACTCCTGGTGCAGGAGAGTCCGCCAGTTGCCCCACCGAGACATAAACGACATCATCACGTATCGAACACGCAGCTTCAGCTGTAGAATTGTACTCAATTGTCAGTATCGCATCCTGGAGAAAAAGTAGCTCGAAGAATTTTCTGATTCAATCAATACTTGAATCATCGTGCGAAGTACATTTTGTCCTAACTGTAGCCTGACATTCAAACGTGACAGACGCATACATAGTATTCACTCATGAAGAGACTGCATTTCAAGTAATTATCTTCATACTCAGCACGTACTCTCTCTCTCTCTCTCTTTCTCTTGTATATAAATATCAATAATTTTATATATATATATATAGATATATGTATTAAAAGTATTTATTTTATATAATTATTTATCTTGTGATATATTTTTTCCTTCATAATCTTTTAATATAAAACAGAAAGATTGATTTGTACCAATAGTTTAGGTTTACTAATACTGAATTAATAATTATCTATCTCTATGGATCGAGGCATCTAGAACATAAGATTTT